AAGATAAGAGAAAATGTATGAAAAAGCTAAGGAGAATCTCGATGTTGATCGATGTTGTTCTGTTTCCGTTTCCTTTCAGTCTTACCGTCTTTACATCTTGATACAAGGTCCATCTTCCTACAGCGACACCACTTATTTCTACTCGATCGGAGCTGTTGGCTCACATCAATCCTCTGCTAAATCCTTTGGTTTATGTTCTGTTTAACAAACAGTATAGAGCTTCTATCAAGGAGCTGTTTGTCAAATGCCGCTGCAAGAACACATGCTGTCGCTTTGGCGAGAAATTCTATTTGACAGGTAAGCAAAACAGTTGATTGGATAATTACATCCGGAAACTCAACGATCACGAAGGACTTACCCATTGCGTTCCTAATTATTAGTAAACATGTGTTGGTTGAGTGAAAGTTTCCTCTGTGAGTATGCTAGCTTCGGCTGTGTTCTGATGAAGACAGTTCTCTGCAAACCGTCAGCTTGTTCTCGTTAACTTTCTCTGCAACGTATTTTAATTTAAAGTCTGCGTTGAGCCAGTTGATCCATGCCGCCGGAGCTTATATTTCCCAGTTTCTGTAGCATTAAGTGACTAGGAATATTTTTACTCCCCTCTGGACGGGCTGCTGCTTCATCGCAGGGCTACCCCCAGCATTAACTTCATCCGTACCCATCCACACACCTGGGTGGAGAGAAGCACTGTGAGTGTAAAGAATCTTGTCCAAGAACACAACACAATGACCCCAGGCCAGGGCTCGAACCCAGACCACTCTATCCAGAGTCCAGGGCGCTAACCATTAAGCTGCCGCACCTTCCATCAGATATTTTAACATATCTGTAATTTATTTTCAAATTCATTGTATTTTTCAGATGAGTATGGGCGAGGCATTGAGTTGCGGAAGATGTCTGCATTTTCGACGAGAACGAAAAGTATTTTCCTGGACTGAAAAATGTACTCAAAAAGTGATTTTCGAATTTGATTCCAGTGAAACGTTCAACATAGAATTGGTTTCTAACACGGCATAGTAGCAAGTATATAGTAACTAACTTCTCTAGTCGAGAGAGGGAAATAAAGCTTTATGAGATATTTGGCTAGAAAACCATGAAAATGCAGGATAACATAGGTAAATCAAACACTCGAAACATGGAGTTCTTCGATATTAGAACTGCTATCAAGGATGTTATGAGAGTAGGTTGCTAAATTATGAAAGTAATTCACAAACATATACCATCGGCAAGATTGGTGAGTACGTAAATGACTGGCACGTTGATCCATGCGCGATGATACCACTGAAAATAAAGTCCTTAAGTCCAGCCAGGCTCGTGGTTCCACTTGTTCGAAAAGAGCACATGGCTTCAGTTGTATTCAACACAAAATATAAGTGAAAATGTTGTCAAAGTTTCGTCTTGTTTGATGATCGCGTTTGAATCTGTTTTTTGTTGTTTATGATAAGGATAAAAGGGCACTTTGTCGCCACTGGGTTACACTCTATAGCCTTCAAGATATAAAAAAAAACTAAACCTGCAGCTACCAAAGGCCCAAATGTCTAAGCAGTTGCGAAAATAGATGTTTTTTGTTTGTTTTATCGACATCCAAATTGTTCTACATCGCTAAATGATGCTGTGTTTTGCTGATGTTCCTAAGGAACCCATCCCTTGACACACTGACGCATTCACTCCTGCGCGCGCACGCTCTCACCCGCGCGCATTCTTTCTCTCGCGCTAAGAACCAATGGCCATTGTGATGTGCACGCTGTCCATTGCAACGTTAGGTTTTATTCCCGTCGCAGTCTTCGTGAAGCTTAAGCACAGAGAGGAGGATTTCTTGACTTGAGTTTCGATACGTGATGCAAATGCGCTTCCTTTGCATGTGGAGCGGGCTCTTATGCCTCATGCTTCTTGCCGTTTTTCCTGGTGAGGGACCAGGTAAGATTTTTTTTTTATACTTGCGCACAGTTTAAAACTCTGAACAAAAATACTCACGCCGCTACATTAACTTTTAGGAAGGGTTTAAACTAATTTTGCTGTCAGAGATCGATAGTAATGGTGAACATATTCATAGCATATATCAGAACATACTCTTTTGGATAATTGCGTTAGTTTTAGCTCGCTGCGATCTTGCCGTGTTCAATCTTTTTCTATGTCACTGGCTAGTGACTTATCCTAACCTGTCTTTTTGATATATTTGATTTCTTTTTCTCAAGGAATTCAAGAGCACCCAGAAGGATTTCAGGGAATGATCAATGATCGACTTCAATATTACTGGATCACACTCGTGAGTATTTAATCAATTAATCAATTAGGGCAGTAGAT